TATAATAGAATTATTCATAAAGTTTGAAATTTAGAAATGATAATTATTACATATAAAAAATAGCAATGAATTAACGATAAATATAATAAGTATGTCGTTTCAAAATGTTGTTATCCTAAATAGCAAGCTAATATTATTTATATTATTTTGACGTCAAAATAATGTTTTTAATGTTATTTTGATGTCAAAATAACGACAAATAATGTCAGTTTGCTACTTGAAATTATGCAGTAATTATCAATTCTAGATGTGTATTATGAACAATCTGTGTGTGCGCGCGCGCGTGCGTGTGTGTGTGTGTGTGTGTCTAAACTAGTGCTTAATAAATATAGAAAATAAATTAACACACAAGAACGTACAATACGATTCTACAAGAAAAAACAACCGTAATGAAAGGAACATTTATTTCTATTCTATTAATTTAGAGAATTCAACAACTGGTCCATCATGTCTTATTTTTCTACCTCGTTTTTGACATCTCGCTACAATGGCAGCAATCGCAATGCAAATTGTAATAAAGGAAACGGCCGCTGAGCCAAGGCCTAGAATCAATTTTGTCATATTGGTCTTTTCAGTATCGGCATCTTCAGTATCAGGATGTATTAAGATCTGATGTTGATGCCGTTTAGTTGACTGCGAATTATTAGAACTGTTTACTCCTAAACATGAAAAAGATAGATACATTTACATAAAATACAACATCATGGAATTATAAATTTTTGTTATTATAGAAAGTAACATTTAATAAAACGTTGTACCTTGTAAAAATCTATAAACTTTCTTATTGTTTAATTCAACTACGTATATCTCAGAACCATCTTCTGTCACATGCAGATTATGTGGATTATCCATATTTTTCTTGGGCTCAAACATTGATAATATCTTTCCGGAATATATATCAAGTACAAAGCCTCTTACTGGTGCTGGATTACTTATAAATAGATTAGGTCCATTAATTAGATATAATTTTTCTCGAGCGTAGGCAACGCTGTAAATTTTTGTACCAATAGCAGGATGTCTATATTCCTTATGGAATGTACCGTTGTTGGCAAAGAAGCACAATATCCTGCCATTTTCTCTGTCAGCGAGATAAAGATAATTTAATTCACTCGCGAGTGCTAAAGCATGCGCGACAAGAAACGCATATGGCGGAGGCGACTGTGAATAGACAAACTCTAAAATAAAATCAGGCTTAGTTTAGCATTTGTTTAAATACTGTTTGTTATTATTAATATCAATGTTATTTTTATCATTACCTTTACTGTTCCAAAGTCGTCCCCACTGTAAAATTAATTCACCTTTTTTATTATATTTAATTATCCTAGAATTGCAATATCCATCACTGACGAAAAAGTCACCATTAGTATGTACAGCAACGTCAGTTGGTTTACAAAATGTGCTCGCAGTATTACCAGGGACAAAAGCCTCTCCCAAAATTATAGATGGCTTTAACATGCTGGCATGATTGTTAGTCACACTTGTCTCTGGGTTAACATGTGCACTTTTTAGTTCTTCCATGTGTCTCTTTACATCTTGAGCATCAAACTTGAATACCTGATGCATTGCTACATCAGTTATCCAATAATTCCCAGACTGATCGATAGTCAAACCATGTGGCAGATAAAACATGTTTTTTCCCCATTCCGATATCACTTTACCATTTTTATCCAGAAGGATTATTGTATTTTGCACTATCGGCCCATTATTCGGATCAAATTTGTTTTCATTATTGAAACTATTAGAGTCCCAAACACGAGCCCCTCTATGAAATATTGCAACATTGCCATTTGGATCCACAGAAACTGCTGATGCTTGAGTAAGTTTCAGTTGTGCCCCCCATTGTGCATCCCATACTATATCTGAAAAGAATACAACAAACACAAGAAAATATTAATTACTTCTATAAACATACACAAATAATCAATGCTTACTTTTATCCAAGATATCTGTAATTACTTGCTCTTCTTTGTCAAGATAGCTATCAACTTTTGAATATAAATGGTCTTTTGTGTTTTGTTGATTATTCGGTCGTGCTAAAGATCCTCTATCTCTGTCATCAACATCGGAGTATTCTCTATCATCATCAGAATATTCATTCGGACCAAACTTGGTATCAGGTAAATGCTATAATACAAAAGAACTCTTCTATTGTTATATGTTTACACATAATTTATTAAATAATTTGTATAACATGCGAAACGACTCAGCAAACCAATTAACAGTAACATAACTATTAGTTATAATTATATAATTTTCCACTCAACAATATAACTAACAATAAATATTACGTAAAATAAAAATAAAATAAAATAGTAATAATTACGTATAACATGTGTTACATTACATTTATATATTGTTAAGTGGAAAATTAATTAACAATTATGTTACTGTTAGTAGTATTTGCTGGAAATATATATAATACCATATAGTATCAATAAAAACTATATAAATTAACGATTTAAATATTAATATTAACTTTTTCTTTTTATCCTACAAAATATCTACATGTAATTACCTGAACATTTAGAATATCTCTCAGTGCTGCCTTAGTATGCACTAAAATATGGAGCAAAATCAAAACGGAGCAGAGAGTATCATATCGAAGAGTCGTCATTTCGCGAAATCGTCATTAGGTATATATTTCCCTATATTTTCAATCTACTTCATCAATAACTGAAACACTAGCGGCGTCTATCGTATTGGACAATATCAAAGATCTTTGTGATCTTATGAGATTGCGGAAATATTATAGCAATTTGAGAGAATTTTACAAAAGTCACGTCTACCTTCGTCTATAACACACTTCAGAGCCACGTATGACAAACTAGTAGTTTCTTTTGCGAATAGCATCACTCAAAATAACTGTAATTAATGTCATCTAGAACATTTGATTATCGCATGTATTATTGCGAAACAGTATTAAGCACGTACGTCGGCGTGTCAGGAGAACACACATTTCCAACAAGTGGCGTTAGACATGACGCCATAATATTTTGGAGTATGTTTTACCGATGTCCTTTGTCTGTATTCTTAACTTCGATCGATAGCACTGACTAAAGCAGTTTCACAACGCTCGCGTGTAAGGGCGCTACGTGTATCGCTTTCCAGATAATATGCAGATAATATATTTCTTATTGATTACGCTCTTTTTTCTGTACGTTAATTCCTTCACAGAAATTTATTGAGTTATAATTATTAAATCTATAACATTAGATAAAGTCTTTTTAAGTCTTGAACCTTTAATTCTTTTATTTTTAATCAAAATTAAATATAAACTCTCCACTTCAACAAACAACAATATCAAAAAAGGATTTTATTATTTATCTACGTTTTTGTTAATTGTATTCAATTATTCACGAAACTTATAGTTATTCATTAAATAAAATAATATTTTTTGTTCTTATATTATCTTTTTGATAGATAAATTATTAGACGTTAATGATCTCAGCTAACACTAAATATCTTTACAATAAAAAGGATTCCTAAATCCTTTGAAAAGGATTCCTAAAAATCTCTCACTTAAAAAAAAAAAACATTTTAAGAGTATTCTAAAATGTTCCGAAATATATTTATATTTATATAATGCAAAGTAACATTCAAATATCGTTAAAAGTTTTAATTAAAATATTGTTACATATTCCGAAGAAGAATGTTCCATATACATTCTACAAAATTTGAATTTTTCCGAAAGTTCAGAGATCCGGTCTCTGAATCACTTTTTAAACAGATTGCACTATAAAGAACAGCAATTCATGTTCTTTCACCTTATAGTCCAATTTTGTAACTTATTTTACAAGCGATTGAGATAGTATGCGCTGCTCCTTATATTCACTTTCAACTGTTGTTTACGAGTAAATGCTTTCCGTCGCGGCCATCTGTAGGCGGAGATGAGTACTGTTCGTTCGCTCGCGATTTTCGTGATATTGTATACAAGAAGTGTGTACAACATTCATACAATATTCTCAACGTTTCATCAATAATTGTACATTTTTTTATTGTTCCGGTATATGAGGTAGATTGAGAATATAAATTAAACTTTCTACAAATATTTAACGTTAGCCGAGGAATTTCGAGATAGACGATTAATACTAGATGACCCATTTATATATTATAAATGTAGTTTACAAATAGTTTGAAGAGAGAGAGAGAGAGAGAGAGAGAGAGAGAGAGAGAGAGAGAGA